AGGTCTAGATGAATCACCGCATTCAGGCAAAAGAAAAGCAGATACAAGATAACCAATGTTCTAAGCAAGGGTTCTGCAGACTTTGCTTCCTCATGCCACTTACCCTGCAGCTGGCCCTGGCTCTATTCCACCACCACCCCGACAGACAAGGCATCTCGAGGGCTAACATCGATTGCCCAGTGCAGTCCTAAATCAGAACCCCAAGAGACAATGGGAAGGTGGTGACTGGAAGAGGCTAAAGCAGAGAAACTGGGAGCACTTCACTGTTAGAAACAGAGAGGTGGGACCAGCAGTTAGCCTAATGGCTATGTCACTGGACTCCCATGTAGTCGACCGTGGTTCACGTCCTGGACCCGGTGGCTTAAAACTCATGACAGGCAGGGAACCAGCAGTTAGCGTAATGGCTATGTCGCTGGACTCCCACGTAGTTGACCGCAGTTCGTGTCCCGGACCCGGTGGCTTAAAACTCACGCCGGGCGCGTGTGCGTGCGTGCCCAAGATCCCGAGAGGAGAATGGAGGAGAAGGGACTGCGGCATGCCCATACCCCCTGGGGGGTGATTTCTCGCTTTCTGTCTCTAATGTCTCTCTCTGTCTGTCTGGCGAGTGCACGCGCCCTATAGTGAAAATCTCTCAAAAAAAACAAAAACTCATGACAGGCACATCTGTGTGCCTGCCCAAGATCCCGAGAGGAGAATGGAGGAAAAGAGATTGTGGCGTGACCATCCCCCCTGGGGGGTGATTGCTCACTTTCTGTCTCTCTGTCTCTCTCTGTCTGTTTGGTGAGCACACATGCCCTATAGCAAAAACCTATAAAAAATAAAAATTAAAAAAAAAGAAAAAAGAAAAAAAGAAACAGAGAGGTATACAAGGTTCATAGACAATATTCAAGCTAAAGGGAACCCTATCACCAGTAAGAAATGACAGTGTGGGAACAAATGTAAGATGGAAAAGAAAAGGGAGAAAGTGGAAACAGCCCTAATGCCCATCCATAGGTGCATCAATAAGAAGTTACAGTACAGACACACAATGGAGCAGTATTCAGCCTTAAGAAGAAAGAAAATCGTCATATTTGCATCTGCATAGGTGAGCCCAGAAGATACAATGCCGAGAGAAATTAGACACAAAAGGACAAATATTGTGTGGTTCCATGTTTGTGAGGTGCTTCAGCAGTCAAATTCATAACCATGAAGTCGAATGGTGGCTACCAGGGGCTGAGGGCACCAGTGGGGGGGTACTGCTCAAAGGCAGAGCGTTTTGGTACTGCAAGACGAGCCCCAGCGGTGACAGCGGTGATGGTTACAACAACGTGGGTTACTAATGTCACTGCACTGGACGCGTGTAAGTGGCTAAAACAGTGCTATGTACACTTTACCACCATAGCACGTGTTCAACAGGTAAAAGGGGTGTTCCCTATCAAGATGCACTGACCTCTCTGTCGCTAACGTGTAAGGTAACACTCATCTCCCTGGGAAGACTACACGTGGCCTTGCCCAAAATGTGAGCACATGAGCCGGCCTCTGGAAGCCTCTCCATCATTCTTTTTTTTCTTTTTTTTTTTTGGAGAGATTTTCACTGTAGGGCGAATGCGCTCGCCAGACAGAGAGAGACATAGAGACAGAAAGCAAGAAATCACACCCCAGGGGGGATGGTCACGCCGCAATCCCTTCTCCTCCATTCTCCTCTCGAGATCTTGGGCACGCACGCACACGCGTCCGGTGTGAGTTTTAAGCCACCGGGTCCGGACGCGAACCGCGGTCGACTACGTGGGAGTCCAGCAACATAGCCATTACGCTAACTGCTGGTTCCCTCCATCATTCTTAACCATATGGCCTTGGGCCATGAGCGAGGAGCTGGGGCAGCTACACGCTTCACACACGCAGCTCACATGTGCAGCCCATCAGGCCCTCACGTGCCGTAACGAGCTTCCTTTCCAAAGCTGCGGCACTGTTTAAGTTGAAAATGTGCATGGGCAGGCTCCAGCTGTTTCCCCTCACCCTGCCCTCACACAGTGAAGTCCCCGCGAGCCTTGTGGATGGAGACATAACCTTCCATGCCCAGTAATCAGAGACCGGCCTAGAACTGCGGCAGCCAGCAGCTCGAACCTGGGGCTCGGCCTTGGCACGCTGCGCTGGGTCACAGGAATGACTTCTTCACCTGCACGATGGGTACCAGGCACAGCCACTGAGTGGGGACTTAGTCTGGTGACCTCACGGGGGGCCTGCGGTCAAGGGCTACGGTCTGGGGCCACGTGGCGTCAAGCTTTCTGACCCCATTGAGGATGAGCACGGGCGTGCCTGGGCCTCAGGGAAGAACCACTTCGTTTATGATCTGCTCTAGCGTTCCCCACATTTTGAAGCCATGCCTCCAAGTTCTGAGATGATAACGCAGCGGTAACGTCATCGCCGAAGAACTCCTGATTTCAGGCTGGCTCAAGGACAGACTCGGCGACACGTCCTCTGTCACGTGCGGCCCTGAGCACTCACCTGGTCCTGCGGGTCCATCCTGGTCATCATCCTGTCCTCCAGGAGGTTGAAGGTGAGCACCTGCAGAACGTACAGTTGGTGCGCCATTTCGTTGTTGATGGCCCGCTGGGCTCGGATGACGTGCTAGGGAGAGAGGCCACAGGTTACGTGGGAAAAGAGAAAAAGCAAACGACACACGGTCACCTCCTCGTGCCGAGCGGACCCTCGGCAGTCGTTTGGAGGCACAGGGGACAGGGACTGGTGGGGTCTTCCTTCACAGGACAGGTGGCCCCGGGGCTTCCTCCATTACGGATTCCAGTCAGCTTCCTGGGCTTTAGGCAGGAATCCAGGAAAAGACTACTGTGTGTGGGGCAGGGGGCGCGTCAAGGACTGGAAGGGGATGGTGACTGCAGCCCATGAGTCAAGAGGAATGAGCGTGGACGACACCCGAGGGATCCTGAGTGCAGGAGAGGACAGCGTGCCTGGGTGGAGGGCGATCCTTCACCTTCCCCTGGGACCGACTGACAGGAGACCCACTTCCGAATGGGGAAAAGTTTTAGGAGCAACGCACAGAAGCAAAATGCCCATTGGAGTTGTGGCTAATGCACTGTGGAGCTACGCCAGGCCTGCCACAGCGCAGTGAGCAAATGCGTGTGCATGCCTTTGTTGGCAGTTCCATGAGAAGGCGAGCTCTCCCTCAGAAACGGAGCTGAGGGTGGAACAGACGCAGACGCAGAGGCGGGAAGCCTGAATCCTGGGCCTTGCCCGTGGACCGCAGCACAGCGCGGCTCTGGACGGAAACCAGCTGCCCGCCACTCACACATCATGGCCTGACACACATTGTCTTCGCAGGTTAAAAATGCCAACCGAGGGGCCAGCAGGTGGCATGGTGACCAAGGCACTGGACTCCTACATGGCTGACCACAGTTCGAGTCCCGGACCTGGTGACTTGCTTTCTCACTTTCCCTCACCCTCTTTCTTTCTCTGTCTCTCTCTGGTCAAATTTTAAAAATAATAAAATTAAATAATTTTTTAAAATGCCAAACAACCAGTCAGTGTGGTGAAACAACCATTTTAAAATGCACTAGACCCAACTATGTCTGCTTGTCTGAAAGGACTTTCTTCTTGGCGCTGTGTGGTCACTATGGGGCAGATGGCCACGAACCAATTTCCAGTGTCCTCTAGTCCAGAGTTGGCCAGTGTGGACAGATGACACTAGGACTGGGGGAGGTCTAGGTCCCGGGTATCGGTACGCTGGCTGTGTGTGCCATGCTAAAATAGCTGATTACAGCAGGGGTGGGAGAAGAATGAGAAAGAGAAGGTGAAGACAGGGAGGGGGCACCCAATACAGAGCGGCCTCATCACAATTATGGGGGGGCAGAAGCAGGACAAGGAGTGAGGGGAAATGGAACCCGTACCCTTCAGTCTTCAGAACAGCATGTCGACTTGCAGTATACCTGTCACATCCGAGCAGTACGGGTACAGAGGGTGCCAACCTTGAACCTGCAGCCTTCAGAGTCTCGAAGGAGGAGCTTGCTCTTTGAGAAAGGGTGGCCACAGTCGTTCCAGCCACTAATTCCCCTGGGCAGTCTAACCCTGACTTCCACACCAAGGCCAAGAAGAGGCTCAAAAAGCCCTTCCTCACGTCCACACACTCCTCTGACATAAACCCCTTCCCTGAGCTACAGGGCTGCAGCTTCCACCCCTACTGGGGGCCAGCATAAAGAGCAATATTGTAAGTCCTTCTGCACTCAACAAGATCCTGATGGCCCCTAGAATCTATCAGGACTTCAGATTCCCCTTGCCAGGAGGGAGGGAGGAGTCTGCCCTCCCCTAAGAACCACGGCATATCTTTTCCTTAAACAATGAAAATGGCATCCATGTGGTTTCTTCATGTTTGACAGCCAGGGACGTTTAAACCTGATCACGCATGGCAGAATTTACCGCTGGTTTGAGAACACTGATTTCCTTGGTCCTGATAAAGTTTTCCTTTCTAATGGTGTCTGCGTGTCTGTGTTTGCGTCCCTGTGGGGTGCTGTGTGTGGGCCGTAAGTATGTTAATCATGTATTTCTCATGTTTCAACATCTGGGACCTTGCAGACCCTGGAGAGTCTGTCCTGTCAGGCCAGTCCCTAGAGAAGGCAACTGTCCTGTTTCATAGCGAACTAAACAGGCCAGAGCTCTAGCACCCGCCTCCCTCCTCCATCAGGCTCTGCCTTCCAGGTCACTGTTCTGTCCTGATCACTCAGACCCTGGACACACCCGTAGATGCACTGCCATGGCTCCGACTAGCCAGGCCTGAACCCTGAGCCCCTGACCTGGCCTCCCCAGGCCCTCCTTCTAAAACCTCAATACGAGTTCACGCTCCCCTCTTCCCCAGCTCCCCCTGCCTCCTCACCAACCCTGTGTTACCCTCCACTTGGGCCGGAGTGTGCTGCGCCCCTCCTCTGAGGACCTGCGAAAACGAACTTCTTTCTGGTGGCCACCGACTCCTGACCTGCTGGCACCCGCACCCAAGTACTAATAAAGCCTGTATTTTAAAATGGTGCATGTTTAACTGCAAGCCTGCTGAAGCCACATACTCCCAAAGGCCTTCTCTCTTTTCTTTCGTTCCTTTCCTTCCCTCCCTCCCTCCTTTCCTTCCCTCCCTGCCTCCCTCCCTCCTTCCCTTCCCCTCCCTCCCTTCCTTTCTTTTTCTCATAAACAGAGAATCAGTCAAACCTGGGGCCTCAGGAAATCTTGTTAAGGGCTTATTTCTACGCATTCTCCACCGAGCAACTAGGCGTGTTCCCCGCGCTGAGGTCGCCCTGCATTGCTCTTCATGGCACCTCAAGGAGAGCTTCCACGATGCTTCCCTTCCTCTCTCTTACATGGGGCCCAGGAAAATGATGGTCAAAATGTCAGGACTTCTCTCCGGACCTCATACGTTTCCAACCGGCTTTCTGATTGGACATCGTGAAAGCTCATAGTGGATTTTGAAAGCTACAGAGACCCGTGCCTTAAAGGCAAAGCTAAAGCTACGGGGAGTGCCAGAACCCTGCCCGGGAAAGTTGCACCCCTTCGGGCTGACTGTGGCCCGGACTCTGAGAAGCGGTTCCAGAGACTCTGCCCCACCCAGGAGCCCACCCTGCAGGAAAACCTCGTTTATTCCTTTTCCAAAAGCACTTGCCCTCCGTCAAGGCTCCCACTGGTCCCCGCAGAGGCACGTCACAGGATAGGTGACAGACTGAAGCCAGATGGGAGATAAGGCCGTTCCTCCCCAAAGGCATGGCCGCACACAGGTACTCACTGTTAAAATGATGGACCGCAGTTGTTTCTGAGCCAAAATATTCGCCATCTCCTGGTGAGGAAAAAACACACCCACATGAAGGCTGGGTTAGAGGGTGCGTCCCATCGCGGCCGAAGGACTTTACCCTGCCTATGCTCCGGAACTGCCTATCAGCGGTACTTCTTATGAAAGGCTGAGCTTAAACAGGCAGAATGCTCTGCTTAGATTAGAAAAGCGTATCTTAAAGCAAAGGAAGTCTGGCACTTGCAAACTATTTTTCAGGAAGTTCTCCCTTCCAGAAAAAGGTGAGTGCTTACGCAGACATCCAACACTCATCAAAAGCCATGGTGCTCCCTTAGAAGGATGCCGCGCACCTCAGACCACGCATGTCAGAAAGCTTTTACTCAGAAACACATGCCAGCGGCAAGGAGGTCCCAGTCCTGGGGCGCCATCCTTTAAGGGCCTAAGTCTTTGAAAAGCCATTTCATCTTCTCTGTGCAGGTGAGCAGTGACTACCCTGGGGCTGGGAAGCAGGCTACAGTTGTGAGCAGAGTGGGGTTTGGCAAACTTGGACACCTGGCCAGGTGCTAGGCTCCAGGTGCACCTCGGCCTCAGCTTGGCCAGGCCTTGTTTCTGTAGGTGGAGCTTCGGGGTCTCCTGACTGGACTCGAGGATCCCAGGGAGGTTTTATTATGAGAAATAGTCTGCAGACTCCCTTTGCAAACATTGACAAGTAGATGCCCGGGGAAAGTTAGACAGCCAGACACGGTCTCGGTGCACATATTCAAAATACTGCTCATATGCAGGAAGACCCTCGAAGGCTGTTTTCAGTGGGGGTGTTTTGGTGTCGCGTACTGAGTACAGAAGAAACCACACCATGATCTAAAACACACAACCAAGAATTCCACCAAGGTCAAAGTCAGCTTGGAGAAAGCATGGAAAACCAAGAGTGTGGGAAGGAAGGGGCCACCCAAGCACGGCTGGACAGAATGGGAGAGCAGGGCCCACCTGGTGCTGACAGAGGAACACGGGTGACTTACAGTCAGAGGACAAGCAAGGATGTCAACATTGCTCTCTACATCAACCTAACAGCGTCACCGCCACCACACAGAGAGCGAGCAGGAGAGAAAAAGGGACAGGAGTTCAGAGGACTCTGTTAGAGGATGACAGCTTTATTTAACACCCCGGCTCACCCACTGCATTGAAAAATAAATACTGCAAAAATTCAGGAAGTCTACGTGATGTTGAGGTCAAAATCCAGTACTCGGTCCTCTTCCTTCTTCTCCAAAACAAGAAAGCCCGGGCAACCACACAGCCAGACAAAAGTTGAATGGAAACCCAGAAGGAACTTCCCCTGCACAGCATGGAAAAAGCAGTGCTTCTACCCAACCAAAATGCAAATGCCTACTGGCTTTATTTTGTTGTCCTTTTTATCCCCTCTTAGACCAGTTGATGAACAAAAGATTCAAAGGGTCCTGTACTTTTCTCTCTCTCTCTCTCTCTCTCTCTCTCTCTCTCTCTCTCTTTTGAGAGAGATTTTTGCTATAGGGCATACATACTCACCGGAGAGACAGAGAGAGACAGAGACAGAAAGTGAGAAATCATCCCCCATGGGGGATAGCCATACTGCAATCCCTTCTTCTCCATTCTCTTCTTGGGATTTTGGGAACACACGCACATGAGCCCAGCATGAGTTTCAAGCAACTAGGTGCAGGACATGAACCATGGTCAGCCATGTGGGAGCCCAGCGCCTAACCACTATACCACCTACTGGTCCAAACAAAAAGAGCAAAAAATAAGAATAATAATCATTTTTCTCTGTGCCATTTAGCATGTTGGTTTATAAGGTTTTACAGTAAGTGAGAGGGGACAACACATTCCTCATCTCTACTAGAGCAATGACGGTAATTATCTGAGCACGGTGTCCCTCTTCTGCATGAGACTGTGGCTCCTCAGGGGCACAGAAAGTCTCTTACTCTTGTTTGTATTCCAGGCCCAAAGCACAGTGTCTGGCCTGGGACAATGAATGTTTGGCAAAAGAATAAATGAATATTTTATACTCCCTCCTAAGGAACAGGAGCTTGGTCATGGAGCAAACAGAATATCCTCATGCACATCAGGGACTTGGTTGTCCACTATGAGAGAGTCCCTGGGGAAAATATTGTAGCTTTAAGATGATACACACGCACAGAGAGATATAAATACGCATGAAGACGTGTGGACATGAAAATATGTCTCCAAAGCGCTGCTCCACTTTACAGCAGCTCTTGTAAGAGCGGTGTGTGTAGCGTGCTCACAATGTGAGAAATGACCTGCGTCCAGGAACATTTGCATAAAGCCAAGTGGGGAGTAGCTCACGAAGTCAGGGCCGTGAGTAACTGCAGTGGCTTTGGCCCTGGGAACGCGATTATGCAGATCTTCCAAATTTCTTCCTTTTAAATCTGTATGTCCTGATTTTTCTACACATGTTTTAACTAAAAAGGGTTTTGTTTTGGTTTTTTTTTTGGGGGGGGGACCAGCAGTTAGCATAATGGCTACGTCGCTGAACTCCCATGTAGTCGACCATGATTCGAGTCCCGGACCCAGTGGCTTAAACTCACGCCAGGCGCGTGTGTGTGCGTGCCCAATATCCCGAGAGGAGAATGAAGGAGAAGGGATTGTGGCGTGACCATCCCCCCTGGGGGGGTGATTTCTCGCTTTCTGTCTCTCTGTCTCTCTTTGTCTGGTGAGTGCATGCACTCTATAGCAAAAAACCTCTCCAAAAAAAAGGGGGTGGATTTTTTTAAATAGTGCTTATCAAAACCATAAATATTTGTATAGGAAAGAGAAATTTGGGCAGGATATCGCCAACATATTTGTCATTGAAATAATAAATGGAATAATAAAAAGTAGTTGTGAGGGGCTGGCAGGAGGCGTGGTAGTTAAGGATGCTGGACTCCCACATGGTCAACTGTGGTTCAAGTCCCGGACCTGACAGCTTCGCTTGTTTTCTCACTTTCCGTCTTGCTCTCTGTCTCACTCTGTCACTATCTGGTCAAATTAAAATAAATAAGTAAAATAAAGTTCAATAAAATAATACTTTAAAAAAATTAAAAGGAGTTGTGAAGGAAAGGATCCATTTGGCCACTTAACAGCAACCCACCCCCCTGTAAAACACACACACCCCTCATTACCCCTTGTCTTCACTTGTAGAGGCAAAGGAAGAATATCTCACACCCTGGACTCATGGCCGAGGAGGACCACTGTCCCTACCAAAGCCAGCGGGTCCCTCCCCATGGGAGAACGTCATCCCAGCCCTGTGCCACCTCGGGCTGGTGTTCCCTCAGGAAGGCCAGGTCCATGAAGCCACTCAGGTCCCCGACTGTGGTGGTATTTTTCCTCAGCAAAGCAGGGATAAGGGATAGGCATTTAAAACCATCCCAAATTCGTTGTATACTTTTGAACAACAGAGAAAACCTAGAGAGTGGATTCCTGCGAGTGCATGCTCAAATCAGTAAAGAGTGTTTGACCACAGTGGAATTTATTCAGGGTCCTGAGGCTTTAAACAAACAAAACAGGTGTGCCTGGGAGTCACCAAAGACTCTTGCTCGTACATTTTAATCCCAGTGGGATGAGGAAGTGGGCTGGTGTCCTGCGGCTCCAGGGAGCTGTTCACAAGGAGCACAGGAGAATCTGGGACACCGGCTGGCCTGGCCTTCACCAGGGTGCTCTGCCGGGAGAGCGAGGCCGGTCGGACTCTGACCGCTTCTTCTTCATTTTCCATTCGCTACAGGACATGTGCACTTGTGGGGAGAGGGAAACGAAGTGGGGGGGGCAGTGAGAAAGCATGCCCCGGGCCACGCCACAGCCCCTTCTCCTCACTCTCCTGTCCCGGGGGATGGCCACGCCACAGCCTTCTCCTCACTCTCCTGTCGCAGGGAGATGGCCACGCCACAGCCCCTTCTCCTCCCTCTCCTGTCGCAGGGGGATGGCCACGCCACAGCCCCTTCTCCTCACTCTCCTGTCCCGGGGGGATGGACATGCCACAGCCCCTTCTCCTCCCTCTCCTGTCGCAGGGAAATGGCCACGCCACAGCCCCTTCTCCTCACTCTCCCCTCGGGCTTTTGGGCACACACGCACACACATGAATCGGGCGTGCTTCTCAAGTCCAGGCCCAGGGCTGGAAGTGCACAGTCGGCCACGCGGGGTCCAGCTGCCCCGACAACATGCCACCAGCTGGTCCGGGGTCTGATTATCACCAGCTCAGCAATCTGGTCACATGCTTTACTCCCTTTTGAGTTTCAGTGTCTTCATTTGAAAAATAGAAATAATGCAGCTTCCCTCTAATACGAGAATTAAATGAAATACAGCATGCGAATATGGAGCAGTGTGCCTGGCACAGGACAGACTCAACGATGCCGTCATCAGAGGCGAGTAACAGCCAACTTTCTATTTGCCAAAGAAACACAACTTCACATTTCTCGGACACAACGCCAATAACAACGTCAAGGTCAAATCTGGGCCAGCTAACACTTCCACTGCTCACGTCGAGCCCAGACCACCTGCTACTGTCGGCCATGGAGACGGGACTCCAGGTGAGGGGACAGTGAGCCCGATCTCCTCACTTACGGATCTCCGCTGACCTTCACAGAGGATGCCAAAACACAACTTTCCTTCACTGTAAATTTTAAATCCTTTTTAGAGCTAGCTTGTAACTCACTGATTTCTTTTTAATTTAAAAATAAAAAAATGTATTGCTATTATAGTAATGCATGGCTTTTCATTCTCATGTTGTGAAAATTTTTTTTAAAAAAGAAGTTTGACCTACAGAATCCAAGCCTCGCATTATACTGTCACCCATATATCTCCACCATCACCCATGGCTCGACACTGGGCTCTTCAATTATCCACGGTCACGAGAGTCCAGTGTACGCATGTCTCCTGTCCAGATCCGAGGCCCGCATGACTCCGCAGCCCCTGGGCAGGGAAAAATCTCCCGAGAGCTGAGAGAACACTGCCTCCCCGACTCCCATGCGGCACGCTCGGCCACAGTGCGTCTGGCCGAGGCCCTCAGTCTGGCCTGGGGGTCACGCTCTCAATGCCCAGGCCATGCTGTGCGTGCCATCAGAGTGGCAGGCAGTCTCCAGGCTGCTTGGGACTGGCCACGTGCTCAGGATCTGGACAGGAGCATCAAGGGAGCAGCCTCTCCAGGTTCCACCTCAGAGCTGCAAAGCCACCTTACGCCTGGGTGAGAATGTCCCAGCACAGGCTCAGGGAGGGCGGGCCGCACCGAACACAGGGACACCATAAGTGACACCAGAGCAGCACGATAGCCCTCGGGAATGAGTGGGCAATTCGACCCCCCACTCTCAGTCACTAAGTTTTTAAATCTAGACAAGAGGGGCCAGTCGGTAGTGTAGTGGTTAAGGTGCTGGACTCCCATGGGCTGACTGCGGTTTGAGTCCTGGACACAGTGGTTTGAAACTTATGCTGGACACGTGTGTGTGCACCAAAATCCTGAGGGGAGAGTGGAGGAGAAGGGATTGAGGTGTGGCCATCCTCCCAGGGGGTGACTTTTCACTCTCTGTCTCTCTGGCAAGCACATGTGCCCCATACCACAAATCTCTCAAAAAAATAGTGTAAAATTAAAACAAACACACAAAACAACAACAACAACAACAAAGCACTCAGCAATGAAAAGATAAAACAGAATAAAATTGTAACAGGCATTCAGTAGCAGGTTAGCTCTCTAAATTCCTCTAAAACTACCCACTGGTAACTCTTGGAGAGCTCCGCACACTTCCTAGTAACTGAAAGACCTCATGTTCCAGCCCAGCTATTGAAGGAAGTGAATTGAGACCCAGGGAACATATTGTATATTAGGCTGATAGAAAAAACAGGACTGGGTTTTGAAGCGTGAGCTCAATTTCAGAACGAGGCACAATTTCCCTTCTCCTAATCCCCCTGTAATGGTCACTCCCTGGCTGACGAAGGGACAGAGGACTAAGACAGAGGAGAGTCTCACACAGGACCACGCGAGGCGCTCCCCCGCTTCCGTGAAGAGAGGAACGGATTGCTCCCCCCCAGCCATTTCAAGACCTGAGGTCACCAAGCAAGCACTCAGGGACACGGGGACAGGTACCTTGAGCAGAGACTGCAGTCTATGCTCCCCTCCTGTCCCCATCCCTGGGCAAAGCATGGCACCTCCTGTGGTCTAGTCTCCTCATCCAAAAACACGTCTCCCCGGCCCCAGTGAGCACCCAAAGAAATGACCGACCACGGGGGCTTCTGATGCTGCTTCTGCCACAGCGGTGAGGTCGGGAAAACGCCGGCATCCTTCGTCAGCCAGGAGCTTACCCACCTCCACCTACTGCCCCCTAGACCAGCCTGGACTGGCAGCCCTCTGACGGCGAGCAGCAGGGCAGGGACAAGAGGAAGGTTCCCGGCCCTTGACACCCTCCGAAGACCAAGAAAGGCAACTCACCTGCCTCCTCTCATCAGGGGCCTTCAGGAAAAGTGCATTAATCACCGCAATGGTGTAGGTCTGGATCTCTTGGTCTGACCTGGAAAGACACGGAACGACACGGACAGTCAAGAGGCCAGCTCTGAGTCAGACGGCGAGAAGACTCAGCAGCACATGCCCACCGCCCCCGAACAAAAAGCAGGATGAGGGAAATGCACTTGGCCCCGAGGATATGTTTGAAACACCCCAAGGCTGGCTACACAGGGGTGCGCAACTGCCATGACCAGCTGGACGGCACACTGCCCAGGGCAGTTACCCGGAAATATGGCAGCCTTCTCCTCTAGAAGGATCGAAAGCACGAGTCCTGAAGATGCAGCAGCAGTAGCTGCAGTAATAGCAGTATGTGTGTGTGCATGTGCATGTGCACGTGTGTGCATGTGTGTGGTATGTGTGCATGTGCGCGTGGGTGTGCATGTGCGTGTGCATGTGTGTGCATGTGTGTGGTATGTGTGCATGTGGATGTGCATGTGCACGTGGGTGTGCATGTGCGTGTGCACGTGTGTGCATGTGTGTGGTATGTGTGCATGTGGATGTGCATTGCACGTGGGTGTGCATGTGGTGTGTGTGTGTGTGTGGATGTGCATGTGGGTGTGCATGTGTGTGCATGTGGATGTGCATGTGTGTGCACGTGGGTGTGTGTGGTGGGTGTGTACGTGTGTGGTGGGTGTATGCATGTGCACATGGGTGTGCATGTGTGTGGTATGTGCATGTGTGTGCACGTACATATGTGTGGTGTTTGTATGTGGATGTATGTTGTGTGTGGTATGTGGATGTGGATGTGCATCTGGGTGTACATGTGTGTGGTGTGTGTGTGTGTGTGTGTTTGGTCTGTTGCATGAAGTAGTGACTTCAAAAATGTCACATGAGAAAACGTAAAGTACCAATTAATGCTGGTGAACAATCGCTAGAAATCCATGCACAGTGATGTCATGAAATGCATTTTCCATGCACTTTTGGAAGCCCCCGCCACCTCCGGGGGAGTAGTTTTGGATATCCCCACATTCTTGGGCTTATTTAAAGGAAACTACTCGCTCCCATCCCAATGATGTCACGTAATCTAAACATCTGTTTCCAAATGAGAAGAACAGGTATCTGTGTTATAAGTTAGATTTTCACCGGAGGAAATCTGAAATTCAAACAGAGCAGTGGAGCCCACGTGGCAGACAGGAGCACTGAGGCCCGGAGGTGCAAGCCAGGAGCCCCCAGTGGCCACACCGAGGGGGAGGCAGAGCAGGGAGTGCGTTCTTCAATAGCGGGGGGCAGGCACTTAACGCCCACAACCATGGGCTGGCTGTGTGGTCCCCAGACAAGTCCACGGTGAACCCTAAGGCTCAAGCTCTTCATCTGGAACATGGGGAAAGAACACACCAGGTCTGGGGACTGGCAGGAGGCGCAGTGGTTAAGGCACTGGATTCCCACATGGCCAACCGTGATTGGAGTCCCAGACCTGGCAGCTTGCTTTCTCACTTTCCTCTCTGTCTTTCTCTGGTAAAATTAAATAATATTATAATAATAATAAAAAAGATGATGAATAAAATTAAACCAAATAAAACCAAAAAGCCAACCACACTTACAGGGCTGTTAGGAGGACAGAAGGAGTAAAGCAGGTAAAACTCCTTGGCGCAGTGCCTGGTGAACAGTAACCTCTCCACTTTGGCAAAGTGCACAGGAGTGACCTTTCGTGTTCTCTGAATTCCGAGAAGAAACACCAACTGTGGTGTGGAAATAAAGGCAGCTGATCCCACATGGCCAACTACGTGGTTCGAGTCCCAGAACTGGAGACTGGAGAACCACCAGGCACATATGCACGCATGTCCAAACTCCCGAGAGGAGGATGGAGAAGGGACTGCAGTGTGGCCACGCCCCGGGGGAGATTTCGCACTCTCGCTCGCTCTCTGTCTGTCTCCTGCAGGAACACGTGCCTTTGGCAAACACACAGCCTGTAGCCGTGGACAAGGAGGCCACAGGTTCTCTCCCTGCCCAGGTATCCCCGCTTTAGTCATCAGTGGGTCCCATACGGAACACCAGCATCCCGCCAGCACGTCTCTGCTCTGCGAACGCTGGCTCGGGGGACTCGCTGCGCCTACAACACGAAGCAGCCCCATGTGGCCGACACTGAGACGCAGGCAAGCACCACAGTGGAGCCGGCGCCACCGCTGCAAGAGCCGAGTCTACCGGGATGCTGCGGCCGCTGTGCAGCCAGGTCACGTGGAGGGCTCGTTCTGCCCCTGTACATGTGGCCTGCAGCTGCGGTCATGCTGTTACATAGGCAGGACCGTCCTGCGGTTTCTAAAGAGCCTGGTACAACGAAGTCCTTCTAGGGTGGGTCACCAGGAGAGTCCCCTCAGGGGAGAGAGAAGGGAAGGCCAAGGACTGCGGGCTGCTAAAGCAGCTGCCTTACTTCCACCTAATAGCTGACGTCTTGGGGAAAACTACATACATCATAAAATACGAGCGAAAAAGGTCATTGTAATCCCCTGGGAATTAGAGAAAAAGAAACCGGCCTTTTAGAAATCCTTGTTAAAAACGCCTGATGAGCTCGGCCTCATCACCTCGTGGCTAAGAGAGCCAGATCCCACGTGGTTGGCTGTAGCTTGAGAAGGAACTGGGCACGTGTGCATGCACCCCAGATCCTGACGGGAGGGAGAGGAGGAGGAGAAGGGGTTGTGGCATGACTACGTCCGACTGGGGAGTTGTCTCCTGCTCCGTCTCTCTGGCAGGTGGACGTACCTTCTGACGAGGAGAACTGCCTAATATGAAGGTTCTGGTTAACTATGAAGATTATAGCACGAATGCAGCGTCTTATATGGTTAAGGGAAGGGACTGGAAGCACACGTGCCCTAGAGCAAAAGAAGAAACCATCCTATTATGCCTTATTGTAAATAAAACTCTGGGGCCAGCAGACGGCGTGGAAGAAGGCGTGCACTCTCACGTGGCTGATCACAGCTCAAGTCCTGGGCCCAGCGACCTGAAGCATGCCGGGCACGTGTGCATGTGTGCCCAAGGTCCCAAGAAGAGAGTGAGGAGAGAACGGATTGCAGTGTGGCCATCTCCCCTGAGGGTTCTCACTTTTTCTCTCTGTCTCTCCAGCAAGTACATGCACCATAAAGCAAAAATATCTCAAAACTAATACTAATACATGAGATAAAATAAACAGTGAAAATAAATGAATAAAATAAAACTCTTCTGCTGTCTACCAACATTCAAACTGCTGTCTCCCACAGGCGAGGCACCAGGGTCAGACGTGGAGCACACCGGGGGAACTGCCGTCCCAGTGCGGGGACAAGGTGGCACCTGGCTTGGCCGTGCGCCCAGTCCAGTGCTCATTCTGCACATTAAATTGAACCTCATGAAACGTGGGGCGTCCCTGTGGCTGTCCCAGAGCACTTCTCCCCCCAGCAGTGGCAGGGCTCTTACCCTTGCAGGTGGGGGATCAGCTGGCCGATGGTGATCTCTTGCGCCACCTTCTGGTACAGGTCATGGCTGTTGAGCACCATGGACTCTAAAATGGCCAAGGACCGCTGCAGGATGGAGACGTCCATGGCGGACTTGTTCACAAAACTTGCTAT